ATGCAGTAGAATCATGTAGAATTGATCTGATCATGTAGAATTTATTCAGGATGTCTATTTGCATAAGACCTCTGCGAAGTCTATGTAACAGCAAACAGTATTGGCATTATCACTAGGAGAAACTTTTTTAAAAATGTGTCAAAATTTCAATTTATTGCTCCAAATTTATAATGTTTAGTAATGATAATGATGCAGTAGCAGTTGATATTACTTGTTTTAAAGTTTCCACGGTGACACATTTTGAAAGATTCCATGGTGAACTAACTTTATTTCTACCAGTATTAAACTGAAATGAAAAGATATAAAAATAGTGATCATTAGAAAGCTCCTCTATAAATTTAGGCGAATATGTTCAGTTATCACGCTGTATATTTCTATTTTATTCACACATGTATTACTGCTTCTTTAAACTTTCCATAAACGCATTCGTTAACTAGTAACAACAGTAGAACTAACGAATATATCAGAGGAAGCTTTCAGACTTTAGCTTCATGATCCACGCTTCATCCTTTGTTGTCTTATTTTATCAGGATACGCCTATCTCTGGTTAGATGATAGGGACATGGTGATGCAACAGTTTCTCGAGTATAGCCGACAATTGACGGTGGAGGAAATGGAGATGGTGGCCGTGCAGGATCCCAAGGGGCCGACACGGTCACCGCCGAAAATGGAGCAATTCCGCGAGCAAATCGACCTTTACGAGGGCCTCTATCTCGAGATCGAGGAAATGGAACCGTCGAAAGTGTTTTGTGGCTGGTTCAGGGTAGACCTCAAACCCTTCAGACAGTCGGTGCTGAACATGGTCTGCAAATGGTCGAGCATGTTCAAGAGACATCTGGTCGATCGCGTTACCAGCAGCCTCTCGGATTTGGGATCGTTTATAAGGTGTTTTCTCTTACCACGATCGAACAGCAGAGAATGATTTTATCATTATCAGTTTTTATAGCCTCTACGATCGATCTGTCTGAATACTCTGACAGTTCTTTCCTTTCTGCAGATAAGTTTCAAAGAGATGTTGAATTTAAATATATACTTTCTCAAACTTGATTTTCTCAAAATCGCAAGCCCACGTTGTTCAATCTAAAAGTGATTAATTTTAGATCGTTACAAATTCTTAGTATGTATTTACTAGTTTTAAATTATTATAATGTATTGCTGGGAGATTATTAGGAATTATTTTATTCATAGACGAGCGGACGAGGGTTTGCTTCAACCGATACAGCCAGGAGACTACGCTGGATTGGTTAGCGTGATGGGTTATCTGTTGCAAGTGAAAGAGAGGCAACCAACTACAGACGAAATGTTCCAGCCACTAGAAGAGACGATCGAACTGCTAAAATTTTATGATCAAGATATTCCAGAGGAAGTGAATGTTCTCCTTCAAGCATTGCCCGAACAATGGGCTAATACGAAGAAATTGGCCTTTATGGTTAAACAGCAAGTGGCACCTTTGCAAGCAGGTACATTGCCATTTATAGTACTAGAACATCAACATAAGTACAGCAACACAATTGAAATGTACAATAAATTTTCATAGAAGATATTTGCAAAACAGTAAAAATCAATAGTAGTCCTGGGAAACGTTGGTCTCAGAATAATTTCATTCAAATTTCATTAAATAAATCTTGTGCGACTTAAATGGAGAACTGTAGTTAAAGTTGAAATCTGATTTATAGAATCATTTATACCGTTCATGGAATTGAAATGGCAATGAATACAATAATTTTTATAATAAATACAAATAATTATAAATAATCTGTAATAAATATTTTATTATATAATTTTCTAATAATTATTCGACGCAATACAATTTAATATAATTTTTTTCTAAATTTATAACAATCACTCTCGCAAATTCTCTAAATACACTTAATCGACTTAATACAACAGGCGAAGTGTCCAGGATAAGAGGACGAATCTCCGCGTTCGATACAACAATAACTCACTATCGCGAAGCTTTCCGACGATATAATTTCTTCAAATACGACTGTCAGAATCCTTACGAGCTGCTAGATGAGGGACACAAGGAGATCCTGATGTTAGAACGTCAAATGAAAGACATCCAAGAGTCTGCGTCGTTATTCGAGGTTATCGTGCCAGAGTTCAAAGTGTTGAAACAATGTAGAAGAGAGTTGAAGATGTTGAAACAACTTTGGGACTACGTGAATATCGTTAGAAGCTGTATCGAAGGATGGAAGACCACGCCATGGAGAAAAATTGACGTGGAGAACATGGACATCGAGTGCAAGAAGTTCGCCAAGGAGATACGAGGTTTGATTAATATAATACTTATAGTCTTTTAACCCTTTGCGTTCCAAGCATTTGATGTTTGATTCCAATTGTGTAAGTTAATAATCATTGAGCTATTTTTAGAAATTATCCAGGATTTCCACAATATTTCCTATATGCATACTCCTGGATTATTTTCAAAACTTTTCATCCAATTGCAAACGAAGTAGACTACGTTAATTAAATTTTTGCATTGACTCAACTTTTCTAATCGTTCACAGAAAGAAGTGCGAATATTCATTCGAAATTCTTTTAAAGCTTTTGATATTCGTTTGAAACTCTTCTAAAATTCTTTTGATTACTAGGCACACCTAAATTGACGTAAAATATTCTGAAAAAAGAAATAGGGGATATCAGACTATCAAATCTAGCTCAAGGATCGCAAAGGATCACGTCACCTCAAGTATATTATCAACATACTAGTCGAAATAATCAGCTCTGGACAAGGAAATGAGATCGTGGGACACTTACGTGTCACTGGAGGCGACCGTGAAGAATATGTTAACATCCTTGAGGGCTGTAGCTGAGCTTCAGAATCCAGCCATAAGGGAAAGACACTGGAGGCAATTGATGAACAGCACCAAGGTACCAGCGGAGGTTAAAAAACGAAGGATAGGTTTACGAAAAGTGTTGAAAGCGAAAGTTCAGAAACATTAATACTTTATATAACGTACGATTTTTGTACGAAAGATTGTACGTGTATATTTTTGTAAATATTTTTTTGTACCATCGTACATAAGTTTCTCTCCTTACGAATTTTTGATACGAAAGATAATCAGGGATTCAGATTAGGGTATTTTTGGGGAGGTACACGAAGGTGTTTAGAGCTAGTTGCACCGCTGTATATAAGCTATCGGTGTTACAGAAGCTGGGCGACATGACTCCAGAAATGACCGTAAGTCTTCACTGTAAATACGCGCACTCTATCCTCTGAATCATTATTTTTTGAAATCTCTGAGCACGAGCATCGAAATCACCGTCACGATCATTCAATAAATACATAATTACATAGTTACATAGCAATGCATGCGTCACGTATGTTAAACGAATAATTTCTACTATGTTTTGATCATCGTTTTTTCATTCATCGTACGTACCATTCGCTGTATATATATATATATATATATCTCATTAAATAAATTGATTTTTCACTCGAAACGTTTCATTCTTCATACACCTCACTTTATCTTTACTTTTTTTAAATGACATGTTACGTAAATCTCATTTAAAATACATTTGCAATGATGTATAATAATAAATGATGCATCCAATTCAGTTTTTAATTATACACAATGATAAACATAAGAATTACACTCAGTTACTTACTTTTATGCATTCGTGAGACATTTGAACACGCATGAAAATACACAAAAATGTACAATGTGCCCAAAATATTTATCATGAAAATCAAGTTTCTATTTCATTCGCAAAAAGACGGAGAAACGCAGTCTAATCACGGTAATTGATTAGGTACAATTCGTCATGGACGAGTCTACCACGTTGGCCGATCTTCTGGAGTTGAATCTTCACGAGTGCGAGGAAGAAGTGAAGAACATCGTCGACAAAGCGGTGAAGGAAATGTCTATGGAAAAGTACATGAGAGAACTGAACGCCACCTGGTCGAAAATGGAGTTCGAGAAAGAAATTCACGCCAGAACTGGCGCTACCTTAATAAGAGCTAGCGAAGAATTGATCGAAACCTTGGAAGAGAACCAGGTACTTTCCTCTTGTGCATGGATATTGCAAAAATTGCAGAAAATTTATATTTTACGTCTCCATTCCCATTCCCATTCTTCTACTCCATTTCTACTCTCACGAGCATAACTTTACTCATTTTCCGGGACGTGAGGAGTAAATTCAATTATTCAGGCATAAACTTGCTATTTGAAATTGAAACTAATAATCAACATTAGCGATTATGCAAGAATAAATGAGATTCAGATTATATAATATATTATATAAGATACAATAATTTTGTGTAAGTCTTAATATTACGAAATGAGAATTTGTGATACAAGTGGTTAAAAGAATTAGTTGGTGAATGAATTTACGAAAAAGTGGATAAAAGAAAGTTTACAATAGAGACAGTATGATTTTTTATTATATTAGTAACAATAATCTATTCTGAAGCATATTTTACACTTATTTATAAAATTCTATGTTCTAAAAATATGCTATACTTACTCATCTCTTAAGTTTCGTTTAATGATTGGAATTCGTATTTATATCGAATTGATAGATTGAAATATTCGAAATATGATAATACCACGGATTGCATAAATCTTCGAATAATAACATGAACATATAATACATCGCTAAATAAGAGTCAATGGTCCACTCAAAGATTAAACTTATATATATTTGTGGGGCCATGGCAGCACAGCAATTCGACTAAAAATTTCATTCCTATTTGATTCTCATAGGTTCAGCTGCAGAATCTCATCACTTCGAAATTCATCGCCCATTTCCTCGAAGAGGTATCCAGCTGGCAACGGAAGCTGAGCATCGCGGATCAAGTGACGACGATCTGGTTCGAGGTGCAACGAACGTGGATGCACCTCGAGAGTATCTTCACGTCCTCGGAAGATATAAGAAGACAATTGCCAGTGGACGCGGAGAGGTTCGATCGAATCGACAAACAGTTCAAGGAAATGACGGAGGAACTAGCGAAAACGCCGAACGTTGTAGAAGCGACGAACAGAGAAGGGCTCGTGTCCTCGCTCGATATCCTGCAGAAGGAATTGGTCCTCTGCGAGAAAGCCTTGGCAGAATATTTGGAAACGAAGCGTCTCGCGTTCCCGAGATTCTACTTTGTTTCGTCCAGCGATCTGTTGGATATTTTGTCGAATGGAAATCAACCGGAGGTCGTGGCCAAGCATCTGACGAAACTGTTCGACTCTATGGCCCGATTGAAATTCGATGACGCGGCTGCTGCCTCGCCAAGACGCGTATTGGGTAAGCCGAGAATAAATCACTGTGAAAATAAAGTTGCCTCTTCGCGGATTCTTTCGCTGACAATGACAAACTGTTATCGACGAAACATTGTTCGACCAATGTTATCTAGTTCCATGTTTGAGCCTCAATCGACCCAACCGTTGAGAAACTTCATCATTATCGAGTAATGGCGTTACGTGGATTTATTTCAATGAATTTTACATGTGTTGATTTTTTCTTTTGTGTTTGCCACGTGTAATCGAAGTGATCAACTTTCATTGGTGCAGAGGCCTCGCATCTTTCGTTGTTCTTTTCTTCTTAAATTATTTAGATGTGCAATACAAGTTCCTATTGTTTATCTAAATTATTTAGATAACTCCTTTGAATATAATATATCTAACTCATACCAAATTTTTTCAACGAAATTTTAATCCTGCTGCGTTCCTTCGACCATTTGTATTTTTCTAACGTTAAGAAGCATCTTAAATCTTGTACGAAGATATGAATATTAGTATGCATGATTTATCCTTTACCTTTATGAATACCAATCAAAGAACCATAGTGACTTTAACAAATATTCGAATCCTGAATATTCTGAATCTTTCGTTTTGAAGGTATGTTCGCGAAAGACGGGGAGTACGTGGAATTCGCGAACTGCGAGATGAGCTGCGAGGGGGCGGTGGAAGCGTGGTTGAATCGTTTGCAGCAAGTGATGAGAATCACAATAAGACACTATTTCAGCGAGGCTGTAGTGACGTACGAGGAGAAGCCTCGAGAACAATGGTTGTTCGACTATCCGGCGCAGGTCTCCCTCTGCGGGACGCAAATTTGGTGGACGACCGAGGTGAACATCGCGTTCGCCAGGTTGGAGGAGGGTTATGACAATTCGTTGAAAGATTACCTGAAGAAACAAATCTCTCAATTGAGTATACTGATCACGTTGCTGATCGGAGAGCTGACGAAACAGGAGAGGCAAAAGGTGATGACCATCTGCACAATTGACGTACACTCTCGAGACGTAGTGGCGAAGTTAGTGCAATCCAAGGTGGAGACGTCGCAGGCTTTCCAATGGCAGAGTCAACTTCGTCATCGTTGGGACGAGAAGGAGAAGGATTGCTTTGCTAATATTTGCGACGCGCAGTTTAAATACTCTCACGAATACTTGGGAAAT